GAAGTTAAAATATTTGAGTAATTACCTATAAAATTATAGATTTTATATTAATCAATTTAAAATTAGTAATATATTATCTACCTATAAACTGCTATTTATTTACTTATCAAAAAAGAGACAGTATAGAAATTAAATAAATAAAAAATAAATAAAGTAAAAATAAATAAAAAATATCAGTTTTATCTAATTTTAGAAAATCAATGCTTTAGGACATTAAAGGAGAGGCAGTAAAGAAAAAATTAAGTTTTAATGAAAACAAGAAAATTATGTTTTAATAATAATTTTTGGGTGAAAGTTATATTTTGGTAAACATTGTTTATATACAAATGTAATCAATAAAACCAAACGCTTTAATAGTTAGTAAAACACATATCATATTAACACACCCGAGCACAGGTAGATTTACTAAGCTTACGGCTAAATCAATTAATTGGTGTCGGCTTTCAATTACAACAAAAACTTGCCCGTAATGACCAAAGGGAGTCACCACAAGTGTGCAGAGTTTACAGTTTTCATTGTAACCACTTTTTTAATTATATTTTTAACTATTATATAATTTAATATTTTATTTTTTTATATTTTTTTATTGAAATTGACAAATAATAAATTTAAATTAGATTATAATCACTATACTAAAAATATAATTGTTTAATAATTGTTTACTAAAATATATTATTAAACGTCAAATGAGTATTCATTCAAAATGCATATTAAGTTCAATTTCATTAATATATGTATATCTGGTTTAAGTAAGGTTTTGGATCTTAAGTAGGTATAGGTTGGGGTAAAATGAGAAAATCTTGATAAAATCTAACTCTTGGGAGGGGGTATGGGGTATGGGGTGTGATATACTTTTTTTTGTATTTTTAAACGATTTTTTCAAAATTTGAAATTCCATTAAACGGGTCAAGTGAAAATTCCCAGATAAATGGGAGGAAATTAGAAAATTATTTACAATAAATTCCCAAAGTTTCAAATAAATTTCTTAAATTAATAAAAACTAATCTTAATCAACTTTATAAAAATAAAATATAATTCTGTCTTTAAAATAATATAATTATTATTATCTTAAAATAATATCCTAATTGTTATATAATTAAATTTCCGTGTCTGGGATCTGGGAGTAAAATCCCAAAATCTTCGTCTTAGTAGGTATTTTTCATACCCTACCCTATTCATACCCCTACCCCTACCCCCCTTTGCTTAACACTGATGTATTTATAAGTCCCAGTTCTTCAGTCTTACGTAACAATGTTTATAATTTAATAAATAGTTAAAATATTTATTTGGTATAAAATATATTAATAAGGTGTGTGTGTTTGTGTGTACTAAAAGAATTTATAAAGAGATTTATCCATTAGTTTACTAAAAGATATCATTAAAAAAATATTTTATATATTACTGATAAAAATATAAGCACTTATATAATGTTATATATTGTTCTATATATACAGTAACTAAGATATAATTAGGTTCTGTGTTAAAAGTTATCATTTCCTTGACTATAATTAAAAATATACTTTTTTGTTTACTGCTATTTATTTAAATTGCCCTAAATTTAAGTATACTTTATTTTATATTTTTATCATTTTGCTAATTCACTTTTAGGTGATGAAAGTGATGTCAATTTTAATTTAGCAAACATATTACATGACAAATACATTTAGGCTTATTGCTTATGTGATGATAATGTGATATCATTAATAAAATTATAAATGTAGATATTCTATAAATATTATAAATTTATGACTAATAAATTGTATTAGTAAAATGTAAAAATATAAGTTATCGAGTAAAATATATAATATAAAGTTATTAAAATAAAATATTATTTATTATATATTCAACTTATTAAATGAATATCAATTATCTATTAAAACACAATTTAATGTATTAATTTATTAATATAAACATTATTATATTTATTAGTATATAAATTACAATTTTTAAAAATACTGACAAAAAACTAAAAACATTAAATAATAGACTAATTGTTTAAACAAATATTATAATAAAAGTGCTGACAAATTAACAGACACTTAATTACTGATAATAATTGAGTATCATTTATTTTTCATTTTATCACATTTGACGATAGATATATGTATTATTTTTAATGATTGACAAAGAGATTTAGTAAACATATAATATTTGTTTTTTGATAATAAATTCAATGTAAAAAATAATTTATTAACTACAAAATATTATTAAAATAATAAATTATTATTTTAAGCAAATCCAATGTATAAATATTTAAATAAAATTTTAATTTAGAAATTAATTAAATATCAATACATACCAATTATGATGCTACAATGTATAAAAACTTAAAGTTTTATCAAATTTTAATACCAACTATAATTGATAACTGAAATAATAATTTGATTTTTTTATAAAAAACAATGTCAATATTTTATAAGTTAGTAATTTTTTTATTAATATTTTTAAATTATAATATAAAAAACGTTTAAAATTAAAACAATTTTTTTTGTAAGTGTTAACTACTAAAACAATTACGGTAAGTCGGTTATATTTTTTACTTAAGAAAAGTTATATAATTTAAAAATATTGTTTCTAAACATTTTATCAGATTTACCCCTAAATTCATTATTGGTTACATTTTCATGGCCACAATGCCCTTCAATTACAGAATTTACAGTACTGTATATACTGTATAAGTCTATATAAGACTATAATATAGCATAAGGTATACTGTAAACGACATTATAAATAATTGTTCATTCAATGAACGTCCAGTTTGTTTCAAAGTTAAAGTATTAAATTTTTATTATTTTCTCGTAAAGTACTTGTCATGATTTAAATTTAAATATGTAGTGATGGGCTCTATTATATATAAACAGGTCAGGGAGTTTTATACTAACAATATATAACAAAAATAAATATCTAAATCATAAAATAATAAGTAATTTTATGAATTAATTGTTTTAATATAATCTTATTATTTTAAAATAAGTTTTAAATGTTTTAGACGTTGAATACTTAATGAAAGTTTATAAGAATAGGAATATTATATATTTAGACATTTTGAATAAAATTTAGTTTATTTAATAATTTTGTTGTTTAATATCCAAAAGTTCATGGCCAACATTTCATGACAAGTACTTTATTTCATTTATGATATTTTTTTTATTTAAATTTATGTTCAAATGTCTCGCAAATAAATTAAGTTAATATTGAAAATACAGATTTTTAAGACCACGTATTCATTTTTGTTAAACATTGATAAATCACGAATAAAAATTCGAGTGACATAATTAAGTTTTATGAAAATTCTCATGAATATGAATATATATATATATATATATATATATATAATCACTAATCACTTTATGGCCACAAGTGATACAATATTTTTGAATTTGATAAAGACTTTTACAAATCTTTTAATTATATAATCAGATTTTTGTAGTTTTTTTGCAATTTAATAGAAAATTTGTAAATATTTTTTGAATTCAGTTGGTGTACCCAAATCTTAATGGATTTTATGAATTGTAATATTGAAAAATACTTAACTTCTAATAAAAATGCTTAACTTTTAGAATAATTTTATTTTTATTATTTTTTTATCATTTATCGTTTTGCTATGTATTACATTACATTTATAATTATTAAGATGAATTTAATGATATAATTATTAATATGATATATGAATGATGTATCATAAATAATAATATTTAATTTTTAAAATTAAAAAATATAAATTAATATATTGAACAAAATATATTTTGTATATAAAATGTTAATTTAATGAATAATATAAATTTAATGATATTAAAGCATTTTATTGACTAACTATTTATATTAACCAATAATTTATTTAATACTACATAAATATTATACATTAAGATAATTAGGATTTCTCACATTTTAACACATTAGTTAATTTTTAACTATAAAAAGTTATCAATGCCATTAATTGGTTAATAATGTTTGAAATATTTATTGTCAAAATAATGGGACATAGTTTGTGATTATAAGATCCTATAGTATTATAGATTATATTCATAGCTTTACGATATATTCATAATAAAATTAAATAATTTCTTACTATTTATTTAATAGAAAATTATAATTAAACAAATTTTAGTTTCAGACGATACTAATTATTAATAAATAATTTTTAAAATTTTAATTTAAATTATTAATTTATATTTTCATTTTTTTGTACGATTTTCATCATTCTTATGATTTTAAGTATTTGTTATATCAATAAATTGGATAAATACTGATATATAACTAATGAACAATATTCAACTGTGATAATAATTTTAAATTTATATTACTTATATTAATATATTTTGTTATATAAATATAATTAATTAATTAAATCATAATTAAGACAGCACATTTTTATTTACATATTATAAAGAATTTGTTTAATACAAAATTAATAAAATGTTTATATTTTTCGACACATATTACATGTTCACATGATTTTTTATTATTTAAAACATTAGTAAATATCTTATTATTGTTTTATTATTTTCATAAATTTATGTTTTGTTTAAATGATCTGTAATTAATTATATAAGTTGACCCACAATATGACCATTTGTAGTGATGACAACAAAATTAAAAGCTAACAAATGGTTTCAACTAAAAATTATTTATTTAATTATTAAAAACCAAGTTCTCGTTTAAAGTAGACTAGGAGTAGATTGTTATATAAAATATAAAATAATGTCATCAACAAACAAATAGCTAACATTCACTGGTCATTTAGCACATAATTTCAATTAATTTGACTCTATTTATATTAATTACATTTACTTATGAATGATTTGGTATAAATGTATCAATTATTTGAATGGTTATTCAATTTTTTTATAATTGTAATAATAGTATCAATATTAATACAAATACAAATAATAATAATAATAATAATAATAATAATAATAATACATTATATAATAATTAAAAAGATATATAATAAAATAATAACATTTATATTAAAATTAATACAATTAGTAGTAATGTTTTTTAAAAATTTATTATTTATATAATTTGTAATATTACTTATATTAATAACTGATAAGCCTAGAGGTGATCCCTTTCCAATGCATAATGTAACAGAGTCTTGATGTCGTGCACACCTCTGACCGGCCAAAAAGGTATATCCAACTAAAATGGTAGAGATTATCAATAATAAGAAAATTAATTTTAATTTTATTGCAACAATTTAATCAATAAATACTTGTTTAGCAGCCATTTCCTCATCCCTACCGTCACCGATGGCCACATACGAGCATTTTTTGCCAAACTTTTGAATAATTTTCACAAAAGTATTCTCTTTATCTAAAAATTATTATTATTATAAAATTTAGTTAATTATTTATATATTAGTTATATATTGTGAATATTAAATGTTGTCAAATATATTTACTAATTATTCCGGCGCTGTATATGTTTTCGGGATAGAAATAACTGTCCAAATCAAATAACATGACTACAGCTAAGGTGTGCACTAACGACATATTACTGACCAACACATTCAAGCTTTTAGGTCTATAAATGTGTAAATTAAAACATAAACTTAAGACTCATTTAATTTAATTGCAAATTATAATCGACAGATACCTTGAATTAATTAATTTAAGACATTTGATGGCATCGGGTGTCGGACTGTTATCGAGTCTATTGTAAATGTCACGTATTTTATATAACTGATCCCTTTCGTGAGTCGATAATAAACCTAAAATTAATTATTTTTAATTTGATTTGATTTGATTGTAGATGAATGAACACAAACCTTGAATATTATTTTTGTAGACATTATACAACTCTTTGATACGTCTGTATCGAAATGACTGTTTTCTTAAGTCGACCGCTCCTTTAACGGCCTGACAGCCCATAGCGAGTCCTCCGTTGCCGTACGTGATGTTTGTGCAAAAACCATCGTTTTGAAAATCATAATTACTGTCAAATAATATTAAATTTTAATTAATTATTTTTTTAAATAATTTAGTTAATTTCTTATTAATTGATAATAATAAAGAATTAAATAATATATTTTCAAATTTTATTTATGTGATATTGTTTAAGGCTATCATATATTATTTAAATTTTTAATAATATTTTCATATACATTCAATAATTTAATGTTATTTTAAACATATAAATTTCCATATATAAAAATTTTGATATATTTACAGYATATATATATATATATATATATATATATATATATATATATATATATCAGAGTTAAGTAAGGGAGTAGGGTGGGGTAAGGCCAAAAACCCCCATAAGATCGATATTTTGGGATTTTACCCCTCCAGAATTTTTTACTAAATTGGAAAAATTGTCGCTTAAAACGAGGAGAAATGACCCCCCTAAAATTTCGGCGCCAATGGCGCTGAAATTTTTTTAAGTACATAAAAATTTTAATTTTAATTGATACTATTTTAGTAAGTGTTTTTATGTTTTTAAAATTTATATGAATCCAATTATTGATTAAAATAAGTAAAATAGTTAAAATATCGTTAAAACATCAAAAAATAACATTATTTTAATTAAAATATTAAACTAAAAAATTAAAAATTACCTATTTGTTGAAAAAAGTAATCATATTACAATTTAAATAGAAGTTTAAGATAGTTTAAGAAGTTGATAAACAATAAATACTTATATTATAAGGTTTTTATTAATAATTTTTAAAATTTTAAATAAAATATTTGAAAATATTTTCAATTTTATAATTAATATAACTAAACTTTAACGAAAATTGAGTTAAATAATTAGTATTCAGTCAGTATTTGTATAAAAATAACATATAAAAATAAAAATATATAACTATAAACTATAAACATTAAGTATTATATAAAAAATTAATTGTTAAAAGTTAAAAATTATTAAAATACTAAAAATAACTCATTGTGTATCATTAATGCTTTTATCAACTATTTTTAGATCTTAAATACATTATTATTTTATTWTTTGTTAAAATTTATTAATATTAAAAAAATTTTAAAACTATTTTTTTAAATTTGTTTTTATTAATTTTTAAATTTTTTATATTTTGGAAATTTTACCTATTTTGCTGGGAATTTATACGGGAACTTAATGGGAACTTTATGGAATTTACATGGGAATATTCAGGAATTTAAGGAAATTTTCTCTTGACCCCCTTGATTTTGGATTTTTGAAAAAATTGCCGTTTAAAAATGCAATAAAAGTCTATACCYACCCTATACCCCCCAGATTTTTCGAGAATTTTGTAAATTTTACCCCAGTCTACCCCCCCCTAAAATCCAAAACCTTACTTAACCCTGATATATATATCATATCATATAAATATACTATATTTAATTATATCATAAACTATAATTTTATAATATACAGTAAACTATATATTTAGAAAATATGTATTTATATAATTTTATTTATATGCCTTAAGCAATAAATTTTTGGATATAAATAAAACAAATTAATTATATTATACAGTAAACATTTCGATTTATGCAGTATAGGAAAGCACTGTTTATACTGTGCTTATATGAAATCCACTAAAAGTTCATTAAAATAAACAAATTTATTAAGTATTAAAAATATTATTTTCAAATTAACTCTAATATTATACTAATCTTTAATTTATCAATTATATTAATATTCTATCAATTATAAAGATTATTTTAAGAAATAACAAACATTAAAAATAATAATAACTATAATCACTAATTAATTAATAAGGTTGTGTATCGTAATCAGGAAATAAAATCAAATTAAATATAAATAACTAAATATAAATAATAACTAAATATAAATAATAACTAAATTTTAATAATAACTAAATTTTAATAATAACTAAATTTTAATAATAGCTAAATATGTCTGAATTCTATCAACTAATTTTTTAACCAAATTATTCAATTTATTCAAATTAAAAAATAAAAATAATGTATAATTAGAAATAATTAAAATAGTAATATTTTTGTTATAATTAATAAATGAAATAATTTTATACTTTATTAATTTTTAGATTGCTACAAGTATTTAAAAATATTCGTTTATTAATATTTCATAAAAATATAATCATTACATACATTAACAAATACAAAGACAAAATTATTTATTTTATTTAGTAATTTTTTATATTAATTGTTTAAACTTCAAAAATTTAAAACTAATGTTATTATAAACTAATATCTTATAAATAATTTAACAAAATTTAACAAAATTTAACTAAAATTACAATATTTAAATTAAAAATAACTTAAATTATTAAAATTAATGTCTATAAATTTAATTATATTATAAGCATTAATGTGATAAAAGTAGTTAAAAAATACTACTTTTTAATTTAATTTTATTAATTAAATTATTTTTATAATCTAGTTTTTAATGATTTCATACTATATTTGATGCATTTTTATATACACAGTAACTAAAATACATTACCTATAAATAAAAATTAAAATGTTTTAAATAATTAGATCACATTTTTCAGTCAAATTTAAATTTAATATTTTAGTTAGAAAAGAATTATTTAAAATAATACTTAAAACAGATTTCAAAACAAATAACAAAATAAATAATAAGTATTAATAATTTGACAGAATGTTTATTAATTATTAATAATAAAGCTACATTAAATTTCCTTATAACGTTACACCAACCGTCAATTTTTTGTTAACTTTTAATTGCATTAAATTATCAGAAAATTAAATATTTAAGACACTTTAATATTTATTTATTATATGGTGTAATAATAATTTAATTTTTGAAACAAATTAAGTTAATTAATTAATTTATATATTACTGTATTAGTTGTTAGTTTTTATTGTACCCACTCCTATACTGCATAAAAAGAAATGTTTACTGTATATTGATATTTGGGTGTTAGGGTTAGTACTTAATTCTTAATAAAAAATGTTATGATCTTAATTTTGTTGCAATTATAGTATTTTTAATATTTTAATAGAAATCAATAATAAAGTTATAAGTTATATAAATTTAAATAAAACTTGAAGAAGTCTTAAAAATTTGATTTATTTTATATAATTACACAAATAAAACAATTTAAATGTGTATTTATAAATATATAAGTTATATATATATATATACCGGTATATTAATAATAAAATTATATTGTATATACAGTATTATATAATATAAAAAGTTATTTTTATATGTTATATAAATTTCATATAACTTATATTACAAATTTTTTTATATAAATATAWWAAGATAGATGTCAGTCAAAGTAAGTACAGTATATAAAGTAATGAAATTGTGTATAAAACTATAATAAAATTGTCCATGATCATTTACCTTATATCTTGTCCATTGTCATCACTGATTAGGTCATCTAAATTGCCCTGGTCAACTTTCTAATACAATCATCATTTAATTAATACAATTTTTACAAATTTTAATATATATATCACATAATTATAAGAAACAAATTTAAAATACCTCTAAATCAGAGTAAAAGAAGTGTTGTTCAGCAAATTGATTGATAAAATGTTCAATTTCTTCGCCTAATACTCTCTGTAATTAAAATATAATCATTAAGTCGTTATCCATAATTAATAACAATAATTTAATATTTACTAAAATCAAATGCTATATTAACATATATAAAAAATAAATATTTCTAAATCAAGTTATAACTAAATTGTATTGTTGCTAAATCTCTCTCTCTCTCTCTCTCTCTCTCTCTCTCTCTCTCTCTCTAAGATTTCTTTCATCAATTTATTTTTGTGCTTCACTTTAATATTGTTAAAAGAGAAAAAATCGCTAACAATATATACATTGAGAATACTGAGAGAATAAGAAAATATATTGATTTAGGCGCACAATAATAATAACGGTAATGCTTTACTACTGTCACACTCACTCACTCACTCACTCACCCGCTCTCTCAATAAACATATGAAAATGGTTTGTCTCCAAAACCAAAGTTTCATATTTCACTATCCATTAAGACTCTGTATAAAACTCTCAACTTTAATGAAATGCCTTTTCCTCTTTTCCTCTCTCTCTCTCTCTCTCTCTCTCTCTCTCTCTCTCTCTCTTTGTAAATATATTTATATATATATAATAATTAGTGATGTTAAATTTTTGCAATTCTATTTTCATTGATTGATATAATTGACATTACAATTTTATTAATGAATATCTAAATAATTGGAATTATCAACAAAATTCTTAAAATTATAAACAAATAATTTGTTACTATCTTTTTTGTTATTGATTAAAATATAAATTATATAGTTTTATATATCATTGTTTTTAATGACCTACGTACATTTATAAAGAAATAACAAAGTAATAAAATAAAGCAATTTCCAATTTTAACATCACTAACATATAATAAAAATAGTCCCAAAAAATTACAATTCAATAACATTTCGCTTCATTTTCTTTCAATAAAATGTGAACACAATGTTATAATATATTACATTATTTGATATAACATACATATTATAAAGTATAATAATTTTAGTTTTGTTATCAATATATTTATTTTAATACATTTAAAAAAAAATAATTCTTTTGATTAAAAAAACAATAATGAAATATTAAATAAGTAAATAGTTGAATATTAATATATTACTAAAAATACATGTATTATAAAGTTATATGACAGCCTTACCTCCATAGGATTGATTGGTTCATTTAATAATGTTAAATACTTGACGAGTGTATTATCTAAATCCCATAGAAATACCCGCTCGAGATCGTGCTCGGGATCGGGTGACGGGTTATTTTGACGACGACCTCGACCACGACCTGACTTAGACGTGCCTTTAAATATGTGTAACACAATTGACATCAAATTTGTAGATCATTTAATAATTGGATTTATTATTTAAATTAAAACTATACTTTTTTTAATAAATTACATTCAATAATACTGTATTATCAAAGTTTATATATACATAGTGTATATATATATAGTATAACTTATAAACCAACCTTTTTTGGTGCCGGTATTACTGACATTTTGACGGTTCTCTGTCTTTATAGGAGACGCACAGTTGTCTATACGGCGATAATGAGACAGATTGTCATCTGATTACAACAAATATACAATATTTTTAATTTTATATGAATTAAAATTATAAATAATCTATATAATTTACATTACAAATAATTAAATTTAATAAAAATAAATTAAATTAATAAATCTTATAAAAATTATAAAATAAAGAAAACCTGATTCATGTGCTAATTGTGACAATTGATATGTCGGTGTCGTCACTGAGTTTGTGGTGGAGGACAGTGTTAACGGTGACGGCGAAGGAGAGTTAGTTATTGTGTTTGAAGCGTTTGGAATATATGATGAATAGCCGCTATTATAATAGGCTGGCCCATAACTACCACTATGACCAAAGCCCGGGTAAATGTAGTCTAGACCCGACTGCTGGCAACTGGACAGTGATTGCGATCCGACACCCGAATTGCCAAACGTTGATGTATAGCCTATAATATAGAAATTTTATAATATTTAATATTTTTTTATAATAGATGTTTATTTGTATATCACAAGAATCTTTTACATAATTGTATAATTTTATAGTTAATTATCATTATCTACTAAATTATACTAAATTCAAAATTAACAATTCTTAATTTTTGAGATTTTTAAATATTAAATAACTATTTTTTTGTGCTATAAAAATGTTGCAATTGTAGATATTTGGCACTGTTTAAGGATTACTTGTGCTAAATGACACTGAATTGAGATAAGCTGTCTATACTGAGGCTAACTGTGCTGAGGCTGCCGTCGCCGAGGAAGAGCTCGATTTACACGATTGAAAGTCTATTGAGCGCAAACCCGATTGCATACGACACCGGTATTAACATTATACCAAACAATTTATTATAGTTTTTATTATTGTTATTACATTCAGTTTTACAATGAAATCGGTATTGATTTTGTTTATTTTAAATGTTATAAAACCCAAAACATACACTATTATTGCTTAATAAATAAAATACACGACTTGGGTACTGTTATTGGAGACGGATCTCAATATAATTAATGTTATAAATGTCTACAAAACAATTATTTCTTAAATAGTTTTTATAAATATTATTAAACGAGACAAACCTGATTCACGTGATAGTTGTGGCAATGGATATGTTGGTGTCGTCACCGAGTTTGTGGTGGAGGACAGTGTTAACGGTGAAGGCGAGGGAGAGTTGTTTATTGTGTTTGTCGTGTTTGGAATATATGATGGATAACCGTTATTATAATATGCAGACCCATAGCCACCGGTGTGTGCAAAGCCCGGGTATGTATAATCAAGACCCGATTGTTGACAACTGGACAATGACTGTGAGCCGACACTTGTATTGCCAAATGTTGATGTATAGCCTATAATATATGTGATATATATACTCTTATATATGTTTCATGAGATTAATGATGGGAAACAAGAATTTCTCACAAAATCTTTAATAATTTCTATAATTAATTATATATTTTTTTGCTAACATATACTAAAAATCATAACTAATTTACTGTTTTAAAACAGTATATATTCTATAATTATAATTTTATATAATATTTTGGTTTAAAAATTAAAGTGACAATATTTGGCGCTATAATACCGTAGCAATTGTAGACATTTTGTGGTGTTTGGGGATTACTTGTGCTAAATGACGATGAATTGAGATAAGCCGCCTGAGCTGCCAGTGCTGCTGAGGCTGCCGTCGCCGAAGATGAGCTCGATTTACACGATTGAGAGCTTATTACGCGCGAACCTACACATACGACACCGGTATTAACAATATACCAAACCATTAATTATACTTTTATTATTGTTATTATATTAAGTTTTATAATGAATTCTGCTTAAATTTTGTTTGTTTTTAAATGTTATCTAATGCCACACACATTCAATGCATTGGCCATATAGGGTACTAATGTGATCACTAATGTCTAATCATATATAGGATATAAATGTAAGTTACATTATGTAACATTATGTCTGTAAAATCTAAAGTTATACAGTATTATCACATGAAAATACCCTTTGGTAGTGATTATTGACTTATAAATAAAATGCATGACTTTTGGCACTGTTATTGGAGACGGGCTTCAAAATAATCAGTGCTAAAAACGCTTAAAAAGCTTATATAACATTTGTTTGCTTAACTATCCTCCCGTATGACGGCTTTTAACATCAAATATGAAAAATAAAATAAAAATCAACATTTTATTAGCTCTAGATTTTTCACTTAACTTTAACTCTATAACTGATAAAACTTTAAAAATTTTCTAAAATTTTTAGCCCTTTATATAATATTTATATATACAGTATATATAGCATATGAAAGTTAACCAGGCATTGATGTTTTATTAACTATCTGTCCCATCAATATCTACTTATGTCTCAATGTATGTCTGGGCAAATCAGTTCAAATAAAATATATTGCTTAAAAACTTATACATACCATCATTTCCACACATGGCCCAATTATGATGATAATTTATTGGTGACTCATCACTGGCACTGGCCATAGACTGAATCGCACCTGATAAATTACATATATAAATAATACATATAAATTATATAATATAATAAAAATTAATTTTATTTAATATATATTTGTAGTTTTATATTTAAAAACTTATTTATGATGTTATGTGGATCAATGATCTATAATACTTTTATTATTGTTTTTAGTTATATTGATTTTTGAATATCATTTTTAAATTGTGTGTGTGTTTGTATGTTGTTCTACTGTATATATCATCAACAGTGATATTTAATACATAAATTTATAAATTTAATTATTGTTTTATTATATAAATCTATTTAAAATAATTTAATACAATAAGCGCTTCACTTTGTTAACTAATACACAGCAACAAACAGATTATGTTAATAAAGAGTGCACTTTATTGTCACATGTATTGCTAATAATTGTTTTTATTACTAAGTATTAGTAAAAAGATATTTTTGATTGCATACCAACTATGAAACTAAAGTTAATTTTAATATATATTTGTGTATTGACCACAAATTTAATCAAAACATGTCATACTGTATATCCAATTATTAATGATAATAACCTATTAATAATAAATAGAAAAATTGAATAACAATTCTGCAATAATGTAATTATATATTATCCATATAAATAAAAGTATCTATATTTCTATATCTATATATATATAGGAACACATTTTTAGCATTTTTGTCAAATCAAACAAAATAAATAATATTTAAAAATTACTTACTTAACTTTAGTATACTTCATATAAAATAATAAACTTATATATTTTTATTAATAAATTTTTTATTATTATTAAATTGTTAAAGTTTTATCGTATTTTCAAAATTGTAATTAAATGCTTTGTTTAAAAATTTGTTTGTAATTTAAGATTTAATAAAGAAATTATCAAATATACTTTATATAATGCTATTTGATACTATTTAAAACTGACATATAAGTAACAAATTATAAAAATTAAATTAATTTATAATTTTTACATAATTTATCTAAAATTGATAATTATCGACAATAAATATATTTCAATTAATTATTTATATTCTTAGACTAAAGAATCAAAATTACGTATAATTCTGCAATTTTGGTGTATTAAAAAATTTACATAATATTTTTAAATATTTAATTTTGCACAATTTATTTTTTTTAATATTAATGCTTTTACTAATATATATTATGTTAAAAATTATATATTTAAAAAATTAGCTGATTTACGTTGTTTTTTATTTTTATTTTTTAAAACAAATAATTTAAAGCCGACTTTCAAACATATGTATGACTTATGTATCCGAAAACAAATCTCTTTCAGAAAGTTTTCTTTTGCAAAAAACTAGCAAAATATCAGTTGATTTTTTGTGTGTTAATATACATTAGCTGTCACTCAAATTATAAGAAAACATTTCAATCGTATGTTTCAAAGCAAATAATGTTTATTTAACATCTAATAAAATGTGTGTTTGATGTATAATGTTATGAAAGATAGAAGAGAGAGAAAGAGAGTTAAGATTTTGAGAGACATTGAGTTAAAATTTGCGGTTAAAATGATCACAAATGGATTATTTAGTATTTAGCATCACTTATATACTTAGAAATTATATATAAATTTATATATAGTATATACTACTTGTCTATTGGTTTCTCAAAACAGCGACCAAATATATTGCATATTTACAATATATTAGATTATGAATGTGTTGAAAATGTGTTATAATTTATAAACTTAGGTGTCATAAAACTTAATTAATTTTCTAAAATTATGTCAAAAACTGCAAATAAGATTTATAGATTTGTTTTAAAAAACTTGTTGAATATAAAAATATTAGTCATAAAATTTGCATAAATTATAAAAGTTTTTATTTAATATAAATTTTTAACTTAAAATAATATATAAGTTAACTTTAATATATATTATAATTATTATATGTAAATATGATTATTAGTTAAATAATGTGAATAAGAAAAATGTAAACTAAAATTTATTTAATAATTTTAACATTTATACAGTAAATATGAGGTATTATAATACAGTACTTACAAAAAATTATTAATTTAAGTTGTGTTAAAGAAACAAAAAAAACTTTTGATTTAAATAATCTAATATCATATTAAAATTATTGTTAATATTTATTTATTCAAAAATATTTATAAGTAAATTAATAATAAACATAATTACAAATATGCAAACACAGCGTTAATCGTATTTATGTTTTAACGAGTATTAGTTTGATAACAATCAAACCAATCGTCAAATAGTTTTTTATATGTTTTGTGTGTTTGAGATTAACGTTTGTATGAATAATAAATATAATTTAATAATCAGACAATAATTGTAAACAAGTTGCACTAAAAATATATTTATTTATATACCATTATAATGTATTTACAGTATAATAGGTACAGTATATTATTATATTAGTATTTAAATTAAATCTAACCTTTATTAATGATAAAATTACTTATAAAATTTGAAAAGTTAGTGTAATTTATTATTTATAGGTTTTAAATTAATTAATTTAAACTTTGTATTTATTATAAGTTAGAAGACATTTTGCTAAATAATAATATAAGAAGAGACTATATTTACTTTATTTAGTATTAGTATGAGTACTGTATATGAAAACATTATGAAATTATTTTTTATTAATAAACATGTTTTTATTTTTATAAGAAATTTATGCTTATATTTATTAGCAATACAATAAAATTTAATGAAACATACTGTTTAATAAACTTTAAACCTAATTAATTAATTTTACTCAATGTATTTTTTTTGTATTTTTATAAATGTGTTTTATATTAGGTTTTTAAAAATATGAAATAATATAATTTTATTTTTCATATTATAAATATATACTGTAATTATTTAATAATCATTGAATATGATAATTTCTAAAGTAAAAATATCACTAAAATTTCTAATTATCTTCAAATTATGAAGTAATTTATTTTAAGATTTATGTAATAATTATTTTCATTTTCAAATTATGTAACATTTATAAAATATACAAAATAAGTGATTTAGATTTATATAATAAAAACGTTATATTATAGAGTTAATAATAAACAAAATTATGCCATTTGAAGGATTGGCCAAATTAGACAAATTTGATAGTTTATGATAACGAGTATATGGGATGAAAGTAAGGCTTCTTAGATAAGTTGCCACTTCAGTCATAATAGTCAACTAAATTATGAGTGAATTTGGTGTTTAATTTTGATGCTAATCAAGCATTTGTTGGACACAATCCAAACAATGATTGAGAGGCGACTCTTTAAAACATATGAAGTACTCACTTATGGGTCAACACATTACAGTCCCGAAGCTCTCACTTGACTAAAATAGTATATACAGTACTGTATTTATATATACAAATAAAAGTAGTGAATATATGGATGCAGTTTTTGGGTGAGGGATGACATGACGGGTGTCAGTCAATCACTTGAACACAAACCTCCTCAACAACTCTTATCAGTAAACTATTCACTCTATTCACGGAAACTCATAGATAGGGCAACAATTTAGACGCTCATAAAAAGACACATAACATAACAGTGCATCACATATGCAAAAGTTTGCATAATTTTGTGACAACTTCTTTAGGGGTCATCAATGTATCGGATCTCTTACTAAAAACATTGTAACGCTTTATCTTTAGCCTAAAATTGTTAGTTAAAGAGCTAACAAAAGCATAACTAAAAGCAAATATTATTCACGAACTTTAATAATCACATGTATTGGCAACTTATATGATATATCATAACAAGACATAGAAAATATAAAATGAAATGTCACTAATATTTGACATACCATTGGCTGTGGTTGTGAGTAAAGTGATGTCTGGCGAAGCTCTACTACAGTGCCCACTATCACTGTTGGCACTGGGAGATGATGAGATGGTACTTGATTTGGCTAATGGACTGCTTAACAATGGATTCTGATTGTGGTCTTGTAATGATTGCACACAATTATGGTTGTCTTCAATTGATGTCAATGTAGTGGTCACCAGCTCTTCAGCGTAAGTTTGGTCGTCCGACTCCTCCTTAACAGAGACTACTTCTGGCGTTTGGATACTATTTATAGAAAAAAATGTGACAAAAGAATAAACAAAAAGTTATTATAAGAATTGGATCATTAGTTTATCTATTATTACTAATTAGATGCACAATATTTATGTGCTTATAATTAGTAGTCAACACATTAAGTAATTGAAAAACAAAAAACAAATAGTAAGGCATAAAAACCGTATATAAATGTCTTGTTTCATAACTTTTTGTCCATTATTATAACAATTTTGCATTTAAAAAGCGTGATTTTATAGACACAAAAATCTACTAGTGGTTTGATATCTCTCAATTGAAATCAATTGAAATGTTAATAGCACTGGTATGCAACATACATATGTGCAATCAAGTGGCACAGGAGGCACTTGTTATGATGATGATAGTCTCAATGGCTATGGTATGGTATGTTTCAAACATTGGAGCTGAGGAATCGCGTGCGCCTCAATACACCATTATATTACCCATCAGTGCTCTCTCTCTCACTCAGTAAAACATACCGATATATTTATTATATTTTTATTAATATATATATATTATATATATATACTGTATTATATCTATATATAATTTATATAAATATATATATTATAGAAGTATATAACCAAAGATCAAAGTCCAATTTAACACAAATCACATACAAGTCATTACGTATTCAAACATTCATATGTATTGGGAGGCAATAGGAAGCGACTTTCATATACCCCAGCAATGATGCATACAATCAATTGCTTCAAGTTTTTAATTTTCACAACAACTCAATGTTTATGGCTTTCAAATGGTATGTGTGCTTATGTTTGTGTTTTTCAAGTGTCTCACTATTTTTTAGAAATGATTTTTATTAGACTATTTATTATAATTGCCATACAATTTATGGGCAAACATTTAAATCTATCCTATTTTCATATAATTGTTATTATTATTATAAATAAAATGTTAAAAAGAAAAAAGCACTTTATAAAGTTTTATGAAATTTATATCATATGTTTTGTTTGGAAACTACTTTTAACAATAATTAAATGACACAATTTCTAAATTTATCAAAACATATACCACACAAACATATATATATATATATATATAATTTATATATATAGGGAATGAATGGATTATCACAACAAATGGACATATAATATATACGATAAAATTGTTTTAACAATAACACATTAGCGACAAAAAAATTTACATTATTTTTTTTATTGTTGCAAAACATATTTGTTGACATTATCCTTGTCATTAATTCAAAAGTAAAACAATTTTTTTGATGTTGATTTTAAATAATTATATTATTAATGTTTGTTATGTTTATGTTTCATATATATAGCAAATCAAATGCATTTAAAACAGTGACTTAAAGAATATTTATGTAATTAATCAATAGTTTAATGTTATTAACGATATTTTGTTGACACATACACACTATACAAATAACTATTTAAAGCACATATAGTTATAATGTATTGATGTTTGCCATCAATATTATATATAGCAATTTCAACATTAAAAAGTGAATGTTTTTAAATAAACTAATTGTTTAGCTGTTATTTATTAAAATCACTTTAGTTCACACATACATATATTAATATATATTTATATACACACACCATATAAAATGATTGAGCGCTGGTGTTATTGGTTGTAGTAGTGGTGGTGGTAAGGACTGGTGGTGTATGTGATATATATATATGAACTTTTTGAAAGTTGGTGGAGAACTGTAACGTTTCACCAGTTAGTGAGTCCAGCTGTGGCTCACAACTACTGCCACAATCTCTTCCCAAGACTGACTAATATTTTACACATTACCCCCTCTTTGACAATATCTCTCTTTCAAGTCACTCACTATTGCTTAAAACACTGTAAAACTCAAAAAGTTCTCATCATTTGGCAAAACACTGCCACTAACTCTCATTCGGACTCTCTCTCTCTCTCTCTCTCTCTCTCTCTCATCAGTTTTGTTGAGCTCAGCTCCAGAGCTTCTATAAGCCTAACAGGCATTTGACTGTTGGGGGTATTACTTGAGGCAATGAGACGCCAGAAGCAAAGGCCAAGTGAAGCCCAGCCGCTAATTCAGAGACACTCATGAAAACTACTATTACTACAAATACTTACTTACAAGTACTGCACTCCCGGTGCTCAACCACAAGCATATTGACTATAGTTTATGCATTGAAGAGTGAGAAAAAACCAATGGATGAGAGCCAACAAAATAAATAAATTGTTTGTTATATAACAATCTCTTTCATTGAAATCACTGTTGTATGTAAAATCAAACTATAAATGCAATTAATCTTATTTTTGTGCATTTTTAATGATTAATATGAGCTAACAATGTGTTTGTTATGATTTATATTATATATATAATTTCCTTTACAATCTTATAATGACTTAATAAAAACATTCACAAATGACAATCACTAAGGTATTAATAAATTCAAGTAATAGTATAATACTAATATATCTATAATACTAATTTATATTCATATTATTTTTTTTGGTAAAATATAATTTTTATTTTGATATAGTAGTGTGTGTAAGCACTGGTCGATTCAATTTAGTGTCAAGTGTTTGAGTGTCAGGCATGTCATCCAATTGGAGTGAAGGAGTGGCACTCCATCTGACTATAGTTAGCGTTCAAGGAATATATCGGTGCAACATATCTGAGCCCAACTACCAGCACATAGTTTACCAGTTCAACATCAAACAGCCTTTACAGTAATAAGCACACAATTAACCAAAGTATGTGTGTATATGTGTGTATGTTTAGGGCACCGTTAGGCTTGATTGGAAAGGAAGCAATCTCTCTCTCTCYCTCTCTCTCTCTCTCTCTCTCTCTCTCTCTCTCTCTCTCTCTCTCTCTCTCTCTCTCTCTCTCTCTCTCTCTCTCTCTCTCTCTCTCTCTCTCTCTCTCTCTCTCTCTCTCTCTCTCTCTCTCTCTCTCTCTCTCTCTCTCTCTCTCTCTCTCCTTTTTAAATGATTTCACTTGACTTAGGCTTTTGTGAACATACTTTAAAAATAGGGGATATTTATGCAGATTCACGACTAATATATATTACAATATCGTATTGATAATAGTAAATAGTTTTGTTTCAAGCAATGACCACAAAAATATTTGAGTTATATTTTTGTTTTTATTTTTATTGGAATTTCTTCAAATATTTCTCTTATTATTATACATTAGTGAACATATAACATATTCATCATTTATATTAAAAATATAAAAATTGTATTAATAAAATATTATAGATGTTTATATACGGTATATATACTGTAGTATATAATCAAATATTGACAATATAAAATTAATTAAAATTACTACAAAATCTGTTTATTTTTATAATAAAAAACAAACACTAAAAATTATAAACAATTATAAAAGTTTACATTTACTAATCAAATAAACATTTGCAATAAAATTATTCGTTGAGAGAGAAAGTTATATTGTTTAAGAATTATTTCTAAATTCTTTTAATAATAGCATACTTAGCAATAATAATAATAATTAATGTTTTTTATTTTTAAATCATTATAAATTATATGAAAAATTGAAATTATTATTGTTATATCAAGCTTAGCTAATTTAATTATTATAGTAAATATCTGACAAAAATTATAATAACATTTAATGTTTAAGTAAAACAATATATTGAAAATTCAATTAATTAATTTATTATAACTATTGCATATTTTATTTGAATATATAATTTATTGTATTAAATATGATCCATTAAAATATCAAAATATTTATATAAATTAGGCACCACATGAGGCCTACTATTATATATAATGTTTGTGTAATGTTTGCACAGGTGATACTGCTTTTAGAGTAATATTTTATATTTAACTAATAATTATACTTTATATTTTTATAAAGCTTATATATCATATATATATATATATATATATATATGGGATCTAAAAGCATAATTTTTGTACCCAATATTTATTGCTCAAGAGTTTGGGAGGAAAAGAGGCGTAATATTAAAGACACGTAAAGCCAGTGTTTAACAGTAGTTAGAAACGCCCCACTCTTTTAGCTCAGACTCTGTATCTGACAATAACTTTTGTTAGTTTCACTCAAACTCCCGGTCCTCCTATTGCTCTACTATTCCGCTCTCCATTCTCTGTAAACATTTGCATAAGGCTTCAGCAATTGCTCACTAACAGTGCTGAGCATATATACCTTATTATGGTATTATAATAGACATGGGTATGGATGCTAACAAAGAACCGCACCATTACTTGTATTGTATTATAAAGTATATATGCTTAAGAAAGAAATGTGCGACAAATAAAAAGACATCCAAAAAATAGATCATCAAATCTATTGAAGGGCACAGCAGGCCATACACGGACAGACACTATTTATAAACTGTGGACCACTTTTTTAAATAGCGCACCTCATGGTTAGCAAATAAAATAGCCAATAATTTTAATGCAGGAAGTATTGAGAAATGTGTTTGTATTTATAAAATGAACAAAACTTACTTTACAAATGTTAGACCAATTTTATGAGCACTTGTATCTCTCTCTCTCTCTCTCTCTCTTTCTTTCTTTCTCTCTCTCTCTCTACAAATAAAGTTATAGCTCTTGTGTTTTGCTATATATGGCAAAGATATTGGCAAATAATATAAACCAAATTGTCAACAATAACATTACATTCATAGAGAATATAAGTGAAAATAAAAGAAATTTAGGAGTTTTTAGTAACCAAAACAAGACATCGATTGACTAGAAGTGGTCTCTCAGCGGGCCAACACTGGTCCTATAGGGGCCAGTCATGTAATGCCTGATAATGTATGTAAGGCATGGTGTGGTAGTGCACCCACTTTGACACACATGTATGGCATATATTGCATACAAATCGATGTATGGTTTGAGTGATTCATTCATATTCTCTATTCTTTCTATACATTTATATACACAATGTATTCATGTATTACCTTTCTCTATAACAACGTCCCTATTGTCAAGTCTTGGTGAGCACCGGTATTGTTTGTATATATATATATATATATATACACTACATATACTGTATATTCATAGTTTGCAGTGTTGGTAGTCGAAGCTATAGACTACCAATTCATAGCATACAAGCGACAGAAGCGATAACGGCTTCACTAATAAAATACACAATAAATATATCGGATTGGAATCAGAGGCCAAATGATGTATGGATTTGGATGTTATTCTTAACTCTCTATAAAATATATGGTTATGTTATGGTTTGTCTTTGAGACTCTATATGTCTATACGTTCAATAGATATGTCCGTAAAAATTGATGTCTTCTCGGGCCTAACAATAGTATTACAACCACCTCTTCCAACCTCTCAGACCTCAAATAGCTTTTTCCATGTTATCAGTTATAAAGGAAAAGCAAACAAAATATCTCAATATCTCATATTTGATAAAAAGAAATCATTGTTTCATTGTTTGATAGCCCAAAATCACAATCATATGAGGGCTGAACAGTACTGCCCCTAATTTATAGCAATATTTC